AACGTGATCTGTCATCGTCGCGAGGAAGACCTCATCGAGGAACTGACGCGCAGCGAGCGCGAGTGGGGCATCGCACGCCAGCAATACCAAGCCCGGATGGAGCAGCTCCAATCCGAGCTAGAAGAGACGCAGCGTCAGCTTGACACTGTCAAGGTTCGGCCTTGTCTAGGCCGTGGAGAGACCCTGATCTGAAGAGCAGCTACACCCCGGAAGGTGCGGCTGCAAGAATCTGAGAAGCTGGAGGAGAAAGCCAGGCCAGGGCCGAACGAGCTGAGGAGCCTTGGGCTCGCATTCACGATACTCGTAAGGCTTTCAAGCGAAGAAGAGAAACGTCGCCTGGAGCGTCAAGTCAACGAGCAGATGGACGCACTGAAGAGGAAGCAGCAGGAGTACTCTCGCCTGAAGGCGGGGGCTTTAAATTCCATTACAGTAGCATATCGCCAGCACGTGCAACGCCCTGCAATGCTATGCCCTGCTGCTATGAGGACTTGCGACTCAACGAGCGCAAGCGTGTCAAGGACCTGGAGGTTGAGGTCGCGCAGATGCGCCCGCTGGCAGCAGGGTGACAGGGTGAAGCCTTCTTGACATGCCTCGCAGTTTCGGATTGATGGCTTGCCTGCACAAAACAAGGACAGAGCCAGGAGGTTCTGGATCGCAGACTGCAGGCAGGCGAACATCTCCGATGGGTAGTCGCATGGGGTTAAGACGCCCTGGTTCCGTTAACGGAACGTTGAATAGCCATCAGATAATTAAATGTGCAAAAGCGCAAGGCAAGTGTACAGTGCAGAACAAGATGTGAAATAAGTGTAACTGAAGTGTAACAAACAAGTGTAAAATGAGTGAAAAGGTGGCTTGCAAGAGTGTAGTACAGAATCAGAACACAAGTGTAGAAATTGTGAAAACCTGTAAAGGCAACCTATCCCATGACAAACCGTGCAGCCTTTCCCCATGCACATTTCATCTCTTGCGCCTCACATTTCCGGATTTGATTCGTTCCTAAACCGTGCAGGGAGCCTCCGTGGGCACTTTGTTGTCGCACATGTTTACAAACACTTTTCCGCTCTTGCTTTACACTCTTTTTTACATTTTTGCACTTGCTCAACCTCTTCTATATACACCTTGTCTACAGTTGCATTACATTTGATCAGCATCTTGCTTGAACTTTTCAGTCGGGGCTGTGGCAGGCGTGCTTCACACTTTTATCACTTTTTTGTTTACGCGCGAAGTGCTCTTCTTCTTTGCAAAAAATTTATCTGGACGGTTCCCAAGCTTTGAGTCCCTCCTTCGTGCCTCTGAGGAGATCCAACAACAGAAAGCATTGTTCGTTTGCTGCTCTTTTTATTGCTTTTGGTTCTGTTGGACTTTGAGGCGGAGCGCAGGAGGGAGGCCCACCAGATTGCAGAGCTACAGAGGAGGCTGACTCGTGAGGGCCAGAAGGCACCCCATGTGTTTTGCAGAGGCTGCATCGTTGTCATCACACTTTGGCTGCCAAGCGCCAATTAAGTTTTGTCTGTCTGCGTTTCACAGGTGAAAGATCTCGAGGCGGGCTGCAAGAGCGACTCGAGAGTTCGTGAGAGGTAGTGTCGTTGTTGTTTCCTGGAGGCCAAAGTAGGCCACACCAAGCGGCCGGCAACACCGGCTGCTTTGTCCCGGAAGAACTCCGGCGGTGTGGACCGGCCCGGCAGCGGCAGCCGTGGCTACGCCCCAACTTCTGGTTCGGAGTCTGTCACCGAGCGCAGCACTCCAGGCCAGAGGCGTAGACGGCCCAGACGGCATAGGCCTAGACAGCGTGGGTCCGTTTGCCGGTCATGAAGGCAACGGAAATGCTACTTCATCGTCCTCTCGCTGGCAGCACTTGGAACACCAGCTAGACGAACACATCCGGATCCTAGAGGCAAACCGAGTGGCAAACCGTGGCAAGCCGTCTTGCTCGCAGAAGCCTCGCAGGCAACCCAAGGCCTAGAGGAGGAGCGTGTGTCAGTGCCTTGCCCAACCTGAAGTTTCCGGACGAGCCTGCAGGACTTGCGAAAGCAGGATGCCTTGCAAAGAAAGCGTGAGCAGTACATGAACTACCGGCGGAGCCCAGATGGCAGTGTGCACGTAGACCGCACACTTGCACCCCACAGCCCAGCAGCGGCCCCTGGCCCCAGGAAGATCGCCGCCAAAGACCTCAGCGAGCAGCAGGCTGGGGGCTGGGAAACTGGGTCCCTAAACCCTCTGCCGCCTGGCACCGAATGCGATGTGCGTTTTGCAGAGGAGGCCACAGAACGAATGGCACAGCTAGAAGCAGAAGCAGCGAGACACGAGTTTGCGACTGAGAGGGCTTTGCTGAAGCTTGCATCTGACCACCCAACTGTGCGACTTTTAAGGCACGACTTGCACGACCCCTCGGCCTTGTCAGATGCTGCCTCCCGAGCACGTGTGGAGCACCGTCGACATGCCATCAAGGCCGACAGGAAAATCAAACCCCACTCCCTGCCACCACCATCGTAGGATGGACAAGACATGGACCAGTGTGTCTTGCATCACCGCGGGGAAGCAGGAGGAGCAGGCAGAGCTGCAGCGCAACGTGCAGCGGAAGCACGCGGAAGGGCTCAGAATCTCCGCTGCAGTCTCTCATGGTGGCCGAATGAGGGAGGCAACTTTGTGAAATGTGCTCTTGCAAGGTATCCTCCACGACATAGATGAGCGGCTGGAGGGCTTGAACGACGAGCTCGACTTCCGGAAAGATCGCATTTCGAAGGTTGGACTCGTCAACCGTCAACCCTTCGGCAACTCGCGAAGTGACGTGGCCTGGGGCGTCAGGTTCAGCAGTACTTGCGCTCCACAGCCGCTGGCGCTGGGCAGCTGGACGCCGAGCTCGAGCGGATCCCGGCCGAGGACGGCAAGGAGCTCCTGCGCCGCGACCTGGCCGCGGTGGCCGACCTATTGCTTCACTCTTCTGTTTGTTCTTGTGTGGGTTTGGGTTACGTAACACTGGTCAGCAAAGGCTATTGCGAGAAGCTCGTGAAACTGCGGCAAAGAGAGAAGCAGCAACTTCGCTTGAATCAGCTGGCCCTGCAAGTTATACACCTTACACTAGCCGAATTGTCGAGAAGCCCCTTAGCAAGTGAATGCCATCTATGATGGCACGGTTAGAGAGTATGGAGCGTGACACGCAGCGGGTTGCTGTTTTCAGTCCTGAATGGCACCGATCAGACAACATTCCACCGTGCCTGATACTTTGCGGCTCTTCCTGCATGGAGGAAATCTCGAAAGATGCAGAACACAGTGCAAAAATGTTGGGCTGGGAGACCTCACGAGACAAGTTAATTTTAACCCTACGCCGCCTACCTCGGCTCCTCAGGTGCAGGGGCTGGATGAAACGGCAAAGCCTTCTGTATCACTCAGGAAGTCTGTTCAGGTCACGGCCATATTGAGATTTCTTTGAGCAGGACTGCCACGATTCAACAGGTGCGGGGGCGCCGTAGAGCTGCTTTTTTCAGCGAGACATGTCAGCGTGCGGCAAGGAGGAACGAACAGCTGTAACGCAGGGTTTCGGGGGAGGGTGGAGGCCGCAAAAAAAACAGCAAAAGCAGCAGGAAAGAGGGGATCAGGGTACTTGAGGTAACCCCCAAGACGCCTGGGCCTGTTGCCTCGGCGGATTACTAGGCACATGTTCATGTGCCTTCATGTGCCTACTGCCTACGTGAGAGGCGTTCTTTTCTCTTGACGCAAGTCCATATCTGGATACAGAACTTTCGTTCGATCTGCAAATCTGTCCGGGGCTGCGCGCAGAAGGCCGTGGAAGGGCTGCGGAGTTCGGTTACTCCGCGGAAGGGCGCAGGAACAACGAATTCGTATTTCGTAAGACTTTTGCTCTAAGGAAGCGGTCGCTGACAAAACTGTCCTTGAAAGGGCATGCCGTAGGGACATTTGCTGTAAGTCAGAAACGTGGCACGTGTCGAGACGTGGAAGGCTGAATCAATGAAGCACAGAGCTCGCGCAGTGAAGGGCATATCTTCTCCTCTAGGCACTGGCAGCGGCTGGAGGCTGCAGAAGCGCAGCTGGAAGAACGAGCGCGGCAGGCTGAGCTTTCTGAAATTCTGGGACTTCAAGGAAGTATGTCTTCAGGGTCAACGTAACAATGGATTCAGGAAGAGAAGTTGCCATCCATCCAATCCTCCTCACTCTGTTCCGCCTTTCCCATATTATAAGATTTAGCTGCTATCGCACCGTGAGCTTCATCATCCTCCAGATTAGACGAGTAGATGCCTGCAACTAGAACTTAGCTGTGCCGTGCAGATCGCAGAGCTGCAGACTGTCCTGCGGCGCCAAGATTCCAATGCGACGAAGGCAAGACTTGGCAACAAGCATGCTCGCTGCAAGGTTCCAGCGGTTATGCTGTTCCAAGATGTTTTCAAGCTGCAAGGCCATCGCCCGGGTGACGAAAGAGTATGAAGCTCGAATCCGGCAGCTGCTTCGCACCTGCCCTGGACAAAGCATACGAACATTCTGCATTGCGCATGCCATGTGATGCCCCAAGCTGAGGCCAGCTTTCTGTTTCTCGGTTTGCAGAGCTTGGCGGTCCATTGGCGGTATCGGAAAGGGCGACAGGTCAAGTCTCTGGCGGGGCTAAGGCGCAGCAAAGCGATTCACGCTCAGATGAGCCAAGCTTTGCTTCAGCATCCGGAGACGTCGAGGAGGTTGGCTAAGCTGTGACGTCTCATGTTTGGCTGGCCTCTGCAGGTTTTTGCTCCAGGTCTGTGTGTTCTTGATACACACTGCGCAGGGTGCACTCGGGTCCGAATGTTGGCTGATTCACGGCTCAAGCTTTTTTGGGCAAGAACCGCGAAGTGGCCACCGGAAACCTGGAAGGGCCATTTTTTTTTGCCATAGAGTCGCTTTGCATGGCCGGTTGGGCGGACAACATGCAAAGGGAGGTTGCTGAATCCGGGCCAGGAACTCCTGCATCAACTGTCGATGCAGACGGCGTCTCTCCAGCATTTCGTGCAATGCTCATGGAGCTCGAGGCCGTGCATCTGGAAGAGACCAGGAAGCTTCGGGCTGAAGTGGCGGCGCTGTGCAGACTGAGTGCTATGCAACCTTTTCCTCGCATGTCCCCGCCAGTGCAGCCCATCTCGCGAGAAAACTCCCGCGATCCACATGCCTCGGAGAGGTGTCTCGTCAGGGAGTCATGCACTATCGTGGAGAAGGACGAGGTGTATGACGAGGCTGCGAAAGTTCTTGAACGGCCGGCGCAGGACGCTGATCAAGCAACAGCTGACACTGCTGCTTCGAACGAAAGGCGCCGTTATTCCCAGCAGAGCAAGGAGTCCAAGCCAGAGACGACCAAATTTCGAAAGGGTTTCTCAGCTTCGAGCATCGCTAACTCGATTCTCTCCCTCGCATCTCTGCACTCAAATCAAGCTCACCTGGACCTCGGTGATGACTCCGAGCTCGCGGAGGTAGCCACCAGAGATGTCGACAGTGCGTTCTATGAGCGCTTCGGCAATGTTTTCATGGGAAACAGCTTCGAGATGGGCATCGCAGTGCTGCTTCTGTTCAACATTATGCTAATGGCAGCACAGCTGCAATATCATGGTTTCAATATCGGATACAAAATCAGATATCCCAGCTATGTGGAGCCAGCTCATGTTTATTGGCCGCACGTCGAAGACTTCTTCCTTGTGGGAGACGTGCTCTTCGCCGTGATCTTCACGGTGGAGATGTTGATCCGGCTCTTTTGGATCCGTTGTTTGGCCTTCTTCAAACATTGGCTAAACTGGATCGACTTCGTTGTGGTTTGTAGCTCCTGGGCCGAGTTGTTCGCAGCTGCACTGCCCATCAGCCCCACGTTTCTGCGCATGCTGCGCCTGGGGAAGCTCCTGAGAGCCTTACGTGTGGTGAAGATGTCGCAGGTTCTGGAGTCATTGCAGCTACTGCTCAAATGCATCGCCGCTAGCGTCCGGATTCTCTTCTGGTCCTTGGTCCTGCTGATGATTATTCAGTGCAGTGCAGGGATGACTATCTCGTACATGGTCAGTGATTTCATGGTAGACCCTGCTGTGGACGAGGACAAGAAGTTTGCGGTTTTTCGGTATTATGGAACGTTTTCCAAGACACTGCTGACTATGTTTGAAGTGTTGTTTGCCAATTGGGCACCTGCATGTCGAGTGCTCATGGACAATGTCAGCGAGTGGTATTCCACAGTTTTCATCATTTACCGGTGCTTTGTGGGCTTTGCCGTTCTGCATCTTGGACGTTTAATATGGCACGCGTCTTCGCTTCCCGCACGCCTGCAGCCCACCCTGCCACCCCCCAGCCATGTCCGTAGCGTAGGGACTGCTTATCAGATCTTCTTCTGGGCCGGAGGATTAACAGGAGGAAGAGGCAGCAGAGCAAGGCAATCAGGGAGAGAGTGAGAACTTCTGCAGAAAGAAAGGAAAAAACGAGAACGCGGAAATGATGAAGCCAATGCGGAAGATACAGTTACAGTAGCTCGTCAGGAGTTTGCGGCATCTAATGGTAAGCTGAGGGTTATGATCCTGGATACCAGAATTTCCGATTTCTGTGGTGCTAGTCGTACTTCCACTAATGCTGTCAGGTCCTGGCATAACCTTGTTTGATTCTGCTTCCGTCACCTGCAGATTCTACCACTACTACTGTTACTAGTACCTGATCATGCCTTATGCCTTTCCGATGTCTGGTACCTGGGGTAGGCAGCTGTAGCCGTACCCAACTTTGCTGGATGATCTCGACTCGATTGGCTATGTAGTGGTTGGATGTTTTGGATGGGTGCATTGTGTGGTTGGTAAGAGATCGTCTGGTGTCCCGAACTCAACGCGTCACCTGCAGCGCGGAATCCGAGCGAGTCCGACAAGTGGGAGCCAAAAGTACTATCAGGTAGTGACTTGTTGTTTAAACCCTGGCTTTATGCTTTGGGCATTCCTGAGGTTCAATACGTTGTACGAGTCTCAGTTTGATTTTGAGCCATCACCGCTGTCACGTGTTTTCGGGATCTCAGGAACGTTGTCAATGCGGTCTTCGTGCAGAGTACCATGAAGGTAGCCCAGGCAGACGATGAGTTTTTGGCGGCAGAGAAGCAAAGACAACAGGATGCATACCGCAAGAGATTGACGAACCTTTTCAAGCAAGTGGATTCTTCTGGCGATGGCAAGATCGACATCGAAGAGTTTGGCTTCCTATTGGAGAATCCCAAGCTTCAAGTCTGGATGGGACAGCTTGAAATCGAGACAACCGATCTAGTTGGCCTCTTCCAGATGCTCGACGATGGTGATGGTGAGATTTCACTTGAAGAGTTTGAGGCGGGCATCATGCGCATGAAAGGATATGCCCGCAGCTTTGATCTGAACAAGATTGAGCGTGAGATGCAGAAGATGCAGACAAAGGTCGATTTGCTGCTGAATATGAAAGGAGCTGGTTCCCTGAAGCCTCCCAGAAAAGTAGCAATTTCGCCCAAGGCGCTGTCACCGGTAGTGCGCATAGGCTCAGCAGCATGATTTGTTTGTAGTTTCACCCGCGTAGTGTTTCCGATTTTCAATGCTTGGAATGCAGCCGTGTACTGTATAGAGGAGACAGGCAGAATCTGTTCTGGCGTTGTTTGAGACGTATGCCCAGCATGTTCCCTTCAAACAATCGCGCAAGTGCTCGGAAGGTGGAGCAAGTGAAGCGCCAGATGCTTAAGCTGCTCACAAGCCACCAGAAGCTCCAGGACTGCAGCCATCGCCTGTAGCAGCTGAGGCGACAACCAGTACTACAAGGCCGTGAATCGCGAGCTGAAGAAAAGGCTGCGGTCGCTGCTCGAGCAGCGCTGGGAGGTGCCAATCGACGGTCAGAACAGTCGCTTCCGACTTCACGGATATTTGGGTTCAGTGCGTTCTCAGGGAAATGCGCCGAGTCGAACACCGCGCTTCATGCCAACCAATGAGGATTTCCGTGCCGCTTCTTGCTTGTCTCCAGCCAAGCAACCCTTACACATGTGTAGCTTGCTGGCAGTCGAAGGACAGAGCACAGTCCAAGTGATCTGGCTTGGGCGATTTTCCTGTAGTGTAGACTACACATGGGCATTGGGACTCACAAGCCGTCTGCAAAAGTTGTGACGTCTTGCCCAGCGACGCCTGATTCCATGTGCGAAGGGGTTTCCATCTGAGTTGAGACGTAGTGACACATTTTCTGTGTCCTTCTGGTGGCACCGTAAGAACATCTGATATTATCCGAACCCAAAATAGACTGGTTTATGCTGCTTCCAAGAGTGAAGCGTGTTTGTGACGCTGATCGTCCAACTGCATTATGCTTGGCTCGACATCCCAAAATAAGACGGGTGACGAGTGGTTGAATTTGTAGTTTTTTGCACAGCATTCCTCGGAAGCAGAGCTTGCGGAGTGAGGTGCGACAAAACGCCATGCCAAGCTAGGTCGCTGGGGTTGGCTTGAGAGGGGCTTTCGGCTTTCGCTTGATTTCTGAGGACCTGTCCGATTGGCTTTTCAGGTATATGGTTGTTCATTTGCCAATGAGAGATTCCGGCAGAGAAGAATCGCGAGCAAGCAGTAGAGGTAACTGTTGCAGAAGTTGGGTTCTGATCGTTCGATAAGTTCAATACGGGTCCCACAAAAAGCAGCCGCATTCATTCTACCTTCATGCGAGTGCTTGAATGGCTTTTTCTTTGCGGCTTCCTGGCTGCCGGCTCTTTACCATCCACCACGAGTTTCCTTCCCGACGGCCTGGTGCCGCAGACACAGGAACTGACTGACGTGGCGAGACGGACAGCCAGGACGGACTGTTACGCATGCAGGGGTAGGACTGCAACAGTTTATTCGATGCGAGAGCTTTGACCGAAGTCGATTGCTGTATCAGCTGTAAATGTCTTGCTGCATAGAACATCTGTCCGCTGCGCTCAAACATGCTGCAGGTTCTTGGCTTGCCGTGTATGTGAGGAAAGAGCTACGCACTCAGTCTGGCGAAGTTTGTTGCCAGACACACGAACATGCATTCATAGCATACAGGTAACGTCGTTGCTGGCAATCTTCCGCAGTGAAATCGAGCGCCTTGCCGTCTGAGGCTGATGCCTTGACAGTGTTTCATTTTTCGGAGCTTGTGCCCACGCCCATCGTACGAGTGTACGAGTAGGCTGCTAAGGAAAGCTTATTCCGTGGACGAGGATTGGGCAGAAAAACTGTCTGAAGGAATGGGAAGTGCCAGGCAGCTGTGCTTCTTTGCTGACCAGAACCAAGGGGGTTTTAAGCTGGCGAGTCACAGCACCTCAAGCAGTCACAGCAGATTCTGGCCGCTCAGGTGACATGAAAGACCTGTCGAAGCTCGGCGGACACTCGTGTCAATCGTGTCGGCAATGCGTTTGAAGATGTTAAATTGGGCTTATTGCTGAGAGATCTAGGGCACTACTGCTCGGGCAGCGGTTGGACATCGACCTCCACGATGATGGTTCGGCATCCCTAAAGAAGGCCGGAACTCGTGGCCGTGGTCGCACCCAAATGCAGAGAGCAGCTGACATGGCCGTCAACAGTGGCAGCAGCGACCATTCTTGGAACGCAGGCCGTCGTCACCCAAGAGCTATTCTACCCGGCGTCTCAGCTCTGCAACAGTTTCCTTTCACGTGTGGGGTGGCTTGGGACTGTCTGAGAGCACGTTTAGCATGGCAAAGGAGATACTGCACAGCGAGAAGTTCCACTACAAGTCCTATATGGTACAGAATGCTTGCCAGAAAGCTTTCGATGATATGGACTTTATTGCAGATGCCGTGGCTCGTGCCTACGAAGGAGGGCCGATGAAAAGTCTCGCCCCTGGACCAACAGTGTCGCATCTGTCTGCTATAATAGTCGCAGGCGCGCGGCGCAGTGGTGCCTCGGATGCGTTGCTTGGCTTGTCTGGTTTAGAAACCCACTTACTCTGGCCAATGTTGATGCTGGAAGAAGTCCAGAGAGCTTTGTTACTGCAGTGGCCATCTGCAGACCAGAGGCAACTGCTCATGATGCTGAACAGAGCTGGAAGAGCGGCCTGTTCACAGACACGGGTGCCTTGACTATGTGCCGATGGCAGGGAAGAACCATCGAGACTTAAGCATGGCCATGGGTGGTGGTGTTTGGCTTTCCCTGGCGTCAAGGGCTTGCTTGCATAGACTTTGCCGCTCACGACTTAGCGAAGGGATGTGTTTGAGGCCTGTGCGGACGAGGTGAAGCTGCGGAAATCGATGGCCGGAGCAAAGCCTCCCCAGAAACGACCAGCTCACTCAGCTCACTCAGAGCTGTGATGCCGGAGAAAAAGCATGCAGAGCGCGACCTTTCGAGAACTGTGAGTTGCAGAAGACTGCAGGCCATCGATCCTCGAACTGCTGAGCACACTCGCAGGCCATTGCCCACCGAGAACAGCTCAAGGAATCCGTGCGTCTGTCTGCTGGCGCCCCAGATGACGGCAATCATGGGAGCATGAGTCACTGCAGAGACATTTGACAATGCTTGCCCTCACTCTCTCACAAGTCTCAAGCTCCAAATTCAGACGATTTCGGCACTCAGAGCGCAAGTGGTTACTGCGGCAAGGCAACGTCTCTTCCTTAGTAGCTTCGCTGTACATCCGTGCAAGTTCCGTGGCTTCCTACCATTGCATCCTTCCACGAATAAAGAAAGACTCGAGCGAATGGAACGGCGCGTGGATCCGGCGGATGGTGGATCCTACACATTCCAAGCCGTTTGCTCAGAGACATGTGGGACTCCGACCAAAGTGCCAGACTATGGTGTGCCCCAGCGCTCCGGAGTCGAGCTTTGCTTGGAGGATTTGAGCAGATACTATGCCAAGCAGTACAGCAAACAGGACCTGTACGGTACATTAGGGCGGCTGCGTCGCATAACTTATGCACTCAACCGGGTATACAGCCGACCAAAGGCACCGATACAGACCGACTGCAGTGCACTAGAGAACTGGAGCATTACCATTCGCAGCAGCTTATCCGTGTAATTGGCCAATGGATGGACCGGTTTATGTGCAGGAGATTCAGCACTACTGGAACATGCAGTGCAAGTTGGAACCTGAGCGAAGTGTGAGTGCAATAGCCAGGAGTCATTCTTAACGCCGATATTCATTTTTTTGTGACAGGAAGTTTATTGTGATCCTTTTGGCACCTGTTGGGCCTGGCGAGGTAGTTCAATTGAACCAAGTGAATGCTTCGGCACCTTTCCATTTCAGAGATGCTATAGCAATAGAACGGTAGATAAGGTTTATTGACGGCGAGGCCCCTGGCCCCAAAAGCTGCAGTGCGTCGCTCAGCACAGGTGCCTTCGGGTGCCTTTGCCAATTTCTAGGAGGCTTGCAGAATTCCCCTTGTGCCTTGTGTCGCTGGTTTCCAAGGATGCCGTCAGCCTCCAGGACCCACCCGATTTGGAGCGGCTTGCCCAGGCCAAAGCTCCACGGCTTAAGTTGGGAAAGTTTGGGATTCTGGGCTGTCCTTTCTCAGTTGACACGGTAGCCTCACCAAGCGGAACCAGCACAACGATCTTGCCGCCGGCTGCGGCGACGAAGACGATTTGCCACTTGCTGCCGCTGCTCCTCCTCCGCCTCCTCCAAAACCTTCTGCTGCACTGCTGCTGCTGTTTCTGCTGGCAGCACCAGCAGCACCAGCAGCACCAGCAACACCGCCAGCACCGCCAGCACTGGCCAAGCACTGGCCAAGCACGGCCAGGACCGCCGGCACCGCCAGCACCGCTGCCACCGCCATGGCCACCGCCACTGCCTCTGCCAGCACCACCAGATTTGTGACGACCCGGAATCGCCAAATGAGGGGGCGCGTTTAAAAAATATCGTGAACCGGAATCACAAAATGTGGTGGCGCGTTTAAGACGTATGATGAACCGGAGTCGCCAAATGAGGGGGCGTGTTTAAGATGTCTGATGACACTGTCGCCCAATTAGTTGGCATGTTTAAGATACATGAAGATTCGGAATCGCCAAATGAGGGGGCCCTGCAAATTCTTTGCATTGTGGAAGTCGGTGTTCAGGCGATTGCACAAGTCCTGATGCAAAAAAGGGGGCCCGATTAAGATATGTGATGAACCGTGATGACCTGGGATCGCCAAATGACCGGGCGTGCTTAAGATACATGATGAGCCGGAATCGCCAAATGAGGGGGCGTGTTTCAGATGCACGAAGCATCGGCCTGATGAAGACAAATATGATGAATCGCCAAAAGAGAGGGCGTGTTGAGGACATGTTGAACCGGAATCGCCAACTCAGGGGTCGTGTTTAAGAGATATGATGACCCAGAGTCGCCAAATGAAGGCGTGTTTCATTTTTTTCAATCGGGGGTAGCCGTGTGGCGCGAATCTACAGCACACTCAGCGCCTCGCTTCCTGGCATATGCCATATGCATAGTCCAGGTGTAAGAAGGTGTGTTTAAGATATATGGTAAAAATGAGCAGAGGAAGCATATTCGCGGGTGAATATGCGGAGATTCTGTAAGTGACAACATTTCCACATCGCTTCAAGCTTCTGAAGAATCGCAATCGCTGGAATTTACAGCTTCGGCTTGAGCAACTTATGAATTGGGCTCGTGCGGCGAGCATCCTGTGTAGATAATGGGACGAGAGGACACCATGTGCTGTTAAATAAACGGATGCGGGGGATGTGAAGAAACGTGTGACTAACGTGAGTTTAAAGGACAATATCCACCTGGCCATAGTAGCAGAGGCCCTGGGACAGGACACGCAAAACGTCGCAAAGAACAACAACACCAAGCATTGTATAATTTCGATCCGTACATGTATGTGTGGGTGTATAGGTATATATATATATATATATATACATTCTGCATGCACATAAGTACCCACATATACACCTGTGCATACATAAATGCATATGTGCATACATAAACACTCGCGCACACACACATGTATGTATACACACACACATAGAAACATATACATTTACACATGGTGAATGTTACCAAGTCGTTTATAGACATGCAGACGACAAGCAACAAACAAGAATCACAAAACAGCAAACAACAAGCAACACACAACAAACAGCAAACAACAAGCAACAAACAACATATGACAAGCTACAAACCACAAACAACCAGAACACACAGCAAACTGCAAGCAACAAATGACATTCAACATGCAACAGGCAAGCACCAAGCACCAAGCACCAAACACCTAGAACCAAGCACCAAGCACCAAGCACCAAACAGCAAACAGCAAACAGCAATGGCAACAGCAACAGCAACAGCAACAGCAACAGCAACAACAACAACAGCAACACCACGAGCACCACCACCACCAACAACAACAACAACGATAACGACAACCACGCCCTCCCAAGTCAGTTTCTCAAGAAGGATTCGGCTCGGGTAACTGTGAAGGAACAAACTCTGGAGCCCCGTCTGAAGTTCTGATCCCCCTCTTCCCGGAAACGATGTTGTTGTTTTTAGTCCGGTAGAAAAGCCAAATTTTGGTGCCCCGTGTGTTGTTGTTCCATGCCCTCGCAACCCACACAACTTCGGGCGCGGTCCGTGCCTCTTCTGTTTAGTAAACCTAATGGGCTCCAGTTTTCGTCTCTAACAGCAACAACAACACGAGCTGCTACTCTAGCAACAACCAATACTACTAGTACTAGTGCAAGTACTAGTACCACTTACTACTACTACTACTCCTCCTCCTCCTCCTCCTGCTGCTGCTGCTGCTGCTGCTGCTGCTCCACGACTACTCGACATATGACGGCGCGACAGGGGCCGTTTTGTTCGATATTGAACCCTCTTGCGCCCAGTGCTGACCCGGTGCTGACTGTAACAGCATACAAGATATGTGATGTCGCAGTCCCTTTCGGCTAGCAAGTGGTGTATCTTCTATGGCAAGCTATCCCGGAGAAGAGGAAGCAGTTGTGGAGGTGAATCTGGAATGGCAGGAGACAGCCGGCAGCCAGAGTTGCCAGTTATGTGTAGCCTCCACGACGACACTTGCTGAGTTCAAAGCGCAGTGTGCGCGAGTGCTGCAAGTTGAGCTGGTCCACTGCCCAGATTTCAATGATGACATGGACCACCAGCAGCTTTGCGAGCTTGGCATAGGCATTTCCGGCTTCCAGCAGCATCGTTTTCCTTTTCGATTTGTGTGCCTTCAGCTCTATATTCGCAGGTACGTTCAGCCTGCTTGCTCCTAGCTCCGAGTGCCATGCAGGTCTCTCCGAAGTGCCGGTGCTGTTGGATCTTGGCCCTCCCCTGCTGGAAGCAAAAAGTGAGCCGAGTGAGCCGCCCTCTGCGACGGCAGCTCCCAGGCTGGTGGCTGGCCCTCCTTTTGCCGTAGCTTTGAGTGATGGTTGAGAGGCCGTAGCTTCCCGTATCTTCGTCTATGGCCTGATCTCGGAAGGAAGGGCCGTGCGCCTTTGGCGGTTCGCCAGGCGGTGGCAGATGCCTCCGACATACGGGAAGGGTGGCTTTTTTTGGGGGGGCAGATGGCCGCGAGCAGCCTGGACGGTTTGCAGCAGATAGGCATCACACACATTCTGAACTGCTGTGAGCGCGTTCCCTGCAAGTTTCGAAGCTCGGCCTTGATTTGCGAGTTTGTGCGGTTTCGACGACTAGGAGTAACGGGGTCTCTTCCCAGAAGCAACATTTCCGCTGCCCTATCTGAGGATCCAGGATCACGTATAAGACCGTGGCTGTAATGGACACAAAAAGTCCCCTGGCTTTGGTGTTTCCGCGAGCCTAGCTGAGTGTTCATCGCTTTTTTTGGGTAGACTGCCTTCACAGTGAAGTCCGTGCACGATATCTTGAGAGTCGCAGACCGAGGCTCTGACATCCGAGAGTTTATACCGGAAGCTTCATTCAGCAAGGAGTCTTTTCATGTTGGCTCTCAAGGACAACACTTAACTTACAAGGCGGTTCGTATTATAAATCAGCGAATAAGCTGAAAGAGTCAATATTGGTTGGATTCCTGCTTCACTTGGCGGTTAGGAAGCCTTGACTTTCATCGACGATGTCGTCGCTGCTGGTGGCAAGGTCTTGGTCCATTGTATGGTCGGGGCATCGCGAAGCGTGGCTTTGGTTCTGGCATGGCTGGTAGCACGACGCCAGATGCCCTTGAAGCAGGAGCTGTTGTGCCACATTGTTTAAGATATCTCGTGCAGTGGGGGGGTTGGTGCTGCGGACCTGGAGTGTCTTGCGAGGCCTTTCAGGAGGTGAGATCAAAGAGACACCAAGCAAGACCAAACCGCAGTTTCTGCGAGCAGCTGATGGAGTTCGAGAAAGATACACTTGGCAGTTGCAGTGCGACTCTCGCAGATTTTCACCACAAGTAGTTCCCAAGTAGGCCCTTCATTCACGAGGCCACAGGTCGCCTTCATGTGAGCTACTGAGGCCGCGAGCTTTAGTCAAGCTCACTGGGTCGTTTCACCCATACGTATGCGATAATCCTGGATTAGAAATTCCGGATGAAAAACTGGGATAAGGAATTTGGTGTCTGGGATGCCAGCTCAGGTTTGCTTCTGCCCAGATCCAAAGCAGCTGGGTTGCAGATGTTGAATTGCGATATCTGCTGCAGATCCGGTTCGATGTTTGGCCCAGGACGTCTGGTGCATCCTTCACTCCAATTTTCGAGTCATCCAGCGGCGGAAAGAACTTCGCCTCAGTCAATGCTGGAAATCCGAAGAAGTTGAAGGCCAGCAAATCCTGGGCTTTCCCCAGTTTGCAACATACACGGCTGCACAGCCATCAGTTTGCCTGCTGAGGTAGGAGGCGGAACAATCAACGGGCAGTTCGCACAGGATTGCTTCGACGGGGTTTGGGGTCGCAGCTGAGTGCAATGCAGTCGAGCGTGTCTGTGGAGGAGCTTCGCCGGGTGGCTGGTCATGACCCTGACAGCTACAGTCCAGCACACGAGGCCTGCCGTGTTGTGCTGAGCACCCGACGGACGGGAAGCAATTAGGGCTCAGTACAGCGCAAGAAAACAAGCAAAGCAAGTGAAGACACCAAAGTTCTGGGACTAAGAGCTCTGAGACAAGGAGGAAAGGAAGAGTACCGTCAGAGCAAATGGACTAACCAACGCTACTGGTACCAAAACCAACAAGGGCCACGAGAATCGTGAGAGCAATCAGGGTAGTCACTGCGCCCTTTTCGTAGAGTAGCACATGTCGTAAGGGCAGAAGGGCTTGTAGACTTGAGAAAATCTTTAGATGAGACCAGGAATCGGACGGTCGAAAGAGCCCGAAAGCAGGCAAATCGACATCAACACCCTTGATGACGGGCGTCACCGGGCTTAGACTTAGACCTGTAAGAGGGGTGACGAGCACTGCGAGAATGATGGCAGCAAGAGAGAGAAAGGCAAGAGTAGCAGGAGCAGGACAATAAGACTCGTACGACTAGCCAGAAGAGAAAGCAGAACAAGTAGTAAGAGTGGTTGCTGTTCGGTGGGGCAAGACTTTTCAGGCATTCGAGCATTCAGGCTTCGGGCCACAAGCTGACCGATAATGCGTGTTTGCACGGATGTGTGTTTACCTGTGTGAAGAGACTGTCGAAATAGATGCAGGCTCTGCTTCGCGTAGCTGCACAAGCAGGCACCGCAAGGCGCCCTTTGGCAACATTGGCCGAAGAACATGCGCAGTTCTATACACGAAGTTCAGTTGTTCGCAGGGTTGTGTCAGACATCCGAGAAGGATTTTGCCGGCTGCGCAGTCCATGACAGGCATGGCCTGGTTCAAGCCCCTGCTTCGCTGCGGTTGCCACCATGCCCCGACCCAAATGTTTCGCGAGAAGTGGCGAGAGGACAATGAGCGGTAACCGTGCTTGTGGAGGTTTGGAGGCTGCCTTCATCTACCTAGGAAGGACACCTCCCGAGGCCCGGCATTCGCATGCGGTGTGTGCCAGTCATAACGACTCGCTTCCGGTGTCGCAGGCGGAGCAGGTCGCGGGCGACTCCGGCCGGGGTGGTCTCGTGATTCTGGAGATCTTGGCAGCAGCAAATGTCCAGACTTCACGTTCAGAAAAACCACAAAACACCGGAGGGCTTGCGTCATGTGGACTTGCTGTCTAAGTAAAGAACAGTTCCATCCACGTTGCGAGGACATCTTCGAGACGAAGTCACGGCCGTACCATGACCAGAATGTCGCCATGGTGTGCTTCAGCAGCGATCAGCTGGCATTGTGATGCAATGGGGTTGGTCGATTCATTATGATCCACGTGCCCCCCAGAAGGGCATATCTGTGCCGGAGGTACACGGTAGGTCCCCAACGGGGATTCGAGCCTGATGACGCGACGTTTCTGTCGACGCTTGGATGGAAGTGATGACGTGCGTCAGATCGATCTTGGAGGAGGCTTGAAGGTGCAAGGTTGAGCACAGGGGAGCGACACAACTGCTGTGTCTTGGAATCGTGCGACAGTGCAGACCGAGAAACACCTAGGAAAGTGCGCCTGGTCGGCCGCAATGTTGCAGCCGCTTGCCACGACTACAACATGCAGCGGTCGCGCTGCTCTCAGCTTTACGAGGAATTTGAGCAAACTATGTTGCGGTCCCGAGTAAAGAGGTGTGTTTAAACTTGCTTTTGGACTTCCAGATTGGATCACTCGCTTGCCTTGTGTTCATCAGGTCGACAGCCGGTTAACGTAGATAATTACATGCATGCTGACGTGCCTTCTTAAATTTGTAGCATTGGACCGTAGGGCAGCTTTGGTCCGAGCCTCCTGCGTGTAGGAGTGTGGAAGGAGTCAATGTTGAAATCGTTATGAGTAGAAGCAGTCACACACACACACACACGCACACCTGCCTTGCACACCGTTTCAGTTTTCTTTCATCAAGCCAGAGCCATGCCATCGGTCGTGTGTTTCTGTCGCAGGTCAAGCCGCATTGTCCCTTCCATAATAACATTTCCGAACTAGATGCCAAGGATTGGTTGTTATCCACTTATCCCACCTTTGCTTACCTTTGCTCTGCCGACGGTACTTTCAGAAGCGTTAGAGGAGCCGAGCTCGGCCGGCAGAGCGGGCGCAGATTAGGGAACAAACTGTCCGCCAGTCAGTTTTATGTCGTAGACATACCGAGCGGTACTTTCATTGGACATCAAGCTGCTTTTGTCGAGATCACAGCATCGTTAATGTTGAAAGGGTTCAGGATGGTGCTTTCGTCATGCCACGTGAAACCTTTTTACCCCCAGCGCCGGTTCCGAAGTTGCTCCTGACCTTCACGGGACTGAACGTCGAAGTTTGGGTTACTCGAGAGATATCCTGATCTTTGAGCGAAATCGAGCAGTGCTCCTGCCGTTCTGGATTGCTTCAGTGCTCTCCTGTGGTTTGTCAACACCGTTGTGGGGCCTGCATCTGCGAAAGCTCAACCGTCCAAAACAGCCAAATGTTTTGAATAGCCTTCGCGTTCACGGTCAACGATTGCCGCCGGTCTTTGTCACCGGTTGTTAGTTGCTGCCATCAACTTTTCCCCTGACCTGCTTGAAGAAATTAAACAGGCCAAGGCACTTTGCAGCAACATCGGGCCGACACAGGGATGGTGCCGGTCAGTCCTGTCCTCATCTTGTTTGTTGTGCTGCTCCTTGTGCATGGATGAGTGGCCAGCGCAACTCCATTCGCTGTCTGTTTCCTTGACTCGCCGCATCACTAGTCACTAGCCCATTAATGCCGTTCCATTCCATTCCCTCCACAAACACGGGTCTGTTGGCACTGAACTTACAGCCTGGAATCCCCGGCAGTGTTGCCGGCCACTTGGAGCACAGTGTGTGGAGATCCGCGTGTGTGGCAGCGTCACCAGCTGGACCAACTGACTTCGTGTGGTCAGAATCGAGACCGCTCTCTGCTGCACTCGCACCAGCGCGTACCGATCGTTGCACCTGCAGCTGCACTAAACAAGCCGTAATCGTCCTCATCTCAAAGACTCGCCCTCAACCGCCCTGCCTTTCAGACTTCCCGTTACTGCTCGTGGCACCTCGCCGCCGGCAGCTCCGGGATCACATGACATCTGTGAAACTAACCTGTTTTGCAGCGCGTACAGTGTGTGTACCTAGCGTTTTGTACAGTCTCAGACGTTCCCCTCTACCGCAGGGGCCCCTTGGATCAAGCCTACGGCTTTGCGGAAAAGTGACTAGTCTTCGCACTGGTAGCGGAGCTCTCGGTTAAGAGAACCAGAGCTCGTAGCCCAATAGTACGCCCCCTGCGCGGGCGTGTGGTCGCCATGGCTAGTGGATCGCTGGCATATCGACCACACCAGGATCTGGACACAGACCTGACGAAGTTTGGCTTCCTAGTCTATGCCGGAACCGTTCGTGACTTTCACGAGTGGGAGTTCCGAGCTATGACAAGGTGGAAGCAGACCAAGGTTGAGGAGAGATCCGACCTTGCGTCCAAGTTCCTCGACTCCTTAAGGAGCGAGGCATACATTGTCGCAGAGGATTTGGGTACCGACGTTTTGTTCTCGAGTCAAAACACCCCCAAGGTGATCGAGGCAGTTAGAGAACGCCTGTTCCCTCTGGCGGAACAAGAGACGAAAGAACTTTATCGGTTAGGGACCCAAGTCGGCGGCACGTTGTCACGACAGCCGGGAGAGCCGATGATCTCCTACATCGACCGCCGCAAGCGGTGGCTACGCAAGCTTCAGCAATTAGACAAGGCCCTTCACATAAGTGAAGCGGTGCTGACAGATCTGTTGCTGGATAACAGCGGGCTCACCCGGCAAGAGCGACTCATGGTGCTGACCTCGATGTCAGGCAGCACAGCGACGAAGGATGCTGAGGCATCGCTGATTCGCATGCATAGTCGTATCCATACGTTGGAACGAAAGCAGCCATCCGCCAAGGGCGGAACTGGCAAAGGAAAAGGTTTTCCCAGGAAGGGAGACCGAGGAAAAGGTAAAGGATACGGCAAGAGATCCCAGAAACGGACTGCTTACACGTACCTTTCGGCCGTAGAAGACCTCTTCGAGTACCCTGACGCCGACGAAGACGACGACGGAACAGCCTACCTGGCAGGCCAAGAGGGCCAGGACGGCCAAGACGGTGAGGGACAGGACTGGGCGTATCACGGAGAAGAACTCCCCGTGTACGACAGAGAGGAAGACACCGCGTGTGTTGCCCAGTCGGCCGACGCATCCCTAAGGGACGTCGAGCTTGATGTCTTCACCGCCTTTATAAGCGCTGGGTTCGACGAGGAAGACAAAGAGGCTTTGGCGTTTCTCGCAGACACCGTGCAGTGCGAGACCGTTGCCTTTATGGCGCGGGCCAAGGCTAAGGGTAAAGGAAAGTCTGTGATGCAGAGGAGTGCACATGGATATCGGCCGCGATCTACCGGTCTCACTGTTGAAGACAGGAGACGGAAGCTCCATGAGATTAAACTCAGGAGCACATGCAAAACGTGTGGCAGAAAGGGCCACTGGGCTGGTGACAAGGAATGCCCAGGCCCAGGAAAAGGAGCAGGAAAGCCTGCAGTGGCACACCTTGCCCAGGTTAGGCGTGTGATGGATAAATCCACACAGACCTGCGACTTTAGCGCTAGCCCCAGCGAGAGCGACAGCGAGAGTCACAGTTTTGACCCAGAGCCAACAGCGAACTACGTTAGCTTGGGTCAGGACTCTGAGACGGAGCCTGCGGCGTACATGGGTTTCTTCGACAAGACCGACTTTGAAGAGTCTGACGAAGAGCTCCTGGACGACTTTGCGTCGCAAGGCGCCCCCTCCACGGAATGGGATACTATAGAGTACCCTGATGGCAGCGACCAGGTGTTTCGGTTCGGGATGCACAGGGGTAGCACCTACCTTGAGGTTTTGCAGAACCACCCCGATTACTACCATTGGGGCCTCAAGGAGAAAGAGCCGAGCACCATGCTAGAAGCATGGCTTGTCTGGGTGTATCGCAACTTTGAGGTTCCACCGGTTGGCGGTGGAAGGGCTACACTCAGGGCAGTTACGCTGCCGGTGGAGGCCGACTCGCTGCAGAAGGCTAGGAAGGAGGTGAGCCTTGAGAAGGCACCTAAGAGCAAGCTCGGGTTGTTGAAGGCGGATCCCAAAGGACCGTGTGTCGGCGGCTGTCCCGCACACGCTCTGAACAAAGCCGGTAGCAACGCGCATGTAATCAAGACTACTTGCATGTTGTGCGGCACCCGTACCTCAAACCCGAGACCAAAGGCTGTACCGAAGAACGACCCCCGCACGTGCGAGCACAAGCGCACAGACAACAGGAACAGCACGAGATCGGTACACCGCACCTTTTGTCTTGATTGTTGCACTGTGGTAGAGGAAATCCCGCAGAAGCTCTTTAAGGAGCAGAAGGGACTCGCCGAGCAGGTACAGCAGTCTCCACTCAAGGTGCAGAACCTCACGAGGAGACAGCTGGAGGAGTACAACTTTACGAAGTTTGAGGCAGGTGAGGTGGTAAAGAAGTTCTTCAAGCACATGGACAAGTTTTTGTTGAAAGTTGACCAAGTCAGTTCAACCGAGTTGTCTAGTTGCCTTGAGGATGCGATGGACCAGGTTGTAGAGCAGACGAAGTTACGCATGCAACATGGTAGGGCAGCTGACGTAGCTAGGTCTAGTCAGGAAGTAGAGCCCCCACCTTTGCCTGCGTTTTCCCCTGTACGTAGAGAGCGTAGGAGTGCACAGCCTCGTGAGCAAGCGTCGCCCGCCGCCGCAGCAGCAGCTGGCCCGAGAGAGAGGGGCGCAGCTGTTAGCGACGCCATGGCGGCGTCGCCTCCCAGCGGAAAGGGCTCGGGAAGCCGAGAGAAGTTCGCCGGCGTGGCGACGGCGGAAAGGAAAGGTGATCCTGGAGAGGACACCAAGCTGACGCTCACCGCTCTGGTGGGGCAGCTGCAGAAGGATGATCTCGAAGGAGACATCAGTCCGAAGAGCGTGCAGAGCTCAGACAGTGAGCCTGCACCCCTGGACGAGGAGATTGCTGAGCCGCAACTCCAGCTCGTGGATCCCTTAGAGGACCACGAAAACGTCTGGGTGATGCTGGACGAGGGCTGCAACCAGACATGCCACGGGACAAAGTGGAGGGCTCACTCCTCAAAGGTCCTGGCGAAGTTTGGGTTGCAGTTCACCAGCGTGCGCTCGAGCGGCACGAGCTTCAAGGGCATTGGAGCGGCTCGAGCGACGGGCAAGTTCGCGATGCCGTTCGCCCTCCGCATCATGCCGGAGAGCGGAGGCCTTCGCCGGAGCACCCGTCTGCAGGGAGAGCTCTCCAGCGTGGAGCTGGACTCTCCGGACGTGCTCTGCCTCCTGTCCTTGCAGGATCAGGTTCAGCTTGGCCTGATCAAGGACCTGAGGCGCGGCGAGTGCCGAATCTCGGGTTACGCCGGGACACTGCAGTTGGCGAGGCACTCGAAGACTGGCCTCCTCCTCCTGTGCGTGAGCCAGTTTGGGGCGAACGTTACAGAGAGGCACAGAAAGTTTGCAGTGAATCCGGAGGTGATCCCTAAGAGGACATCTAAGAAGGAGAAGAACACTTTCTCGATCCCTTTGAGGGACGGGACGGCACGCAAGAAAGAAACCTTGATCCCTTCAGGGGACAAGGACAGCACGGCGTACATGCTGTCCGAAA